TTCGTTCTGCGAGTGGCGGGGGGGTCGAGGGAGCGTCACGTTCGACGGGGTGAGGACGGTGACGGTGCACTCAGTTGTGCGGATCTCTGCAACTGCGAGGGATCGCCCTGGAGCGCGGATCCGCGGCGTCTGCGATGCCGTTGACGAGCCCCAGAACAGCGGGATGGGCCGTTTTTATCCAGGCGATTGACAAGGCGAAGAAGCTCCCTTTTGCACCTCGACGTTTTTTGTCAGCACGTAATGATGTCAAGCTGATGAGGAGGTGCTTGCGGTTTTTCTCTCTTATTTTGATTGGGTACTGAGTGAGTATATACATGCACACACATGTGGCCACCAGGTCAACGTGGCTGAAAATGCGTAGCATTGTTCTTTCTTCTTTTTTGCCTTTCTATTATGGGAAAGTAAGGCACACTATATTTATTGCCTAGGTTTTTTTTTGGTGTATTTGCGCGCGTTGTCGTGTCTCTTTCATTGTATGCACTGCGATTGGTTTTTGTGTTGCTTCCTACTTTTTACTTTTTCCCCCCTTTTCTATTTTACATGGATGCGTGGTGTGTGTATATGTTTAGACCATCGCTTGAATGGGCGCTGGCAGAGCGGACAAGTGAGAAATTTCCTTGGCCGCGTATTACTGCTTTGTTTATCCCACGTTTTAATGAATCAGTTTGAGGTTTTTGTGGCGAGCTCGGAAAGTGCCAGATCGGATGCCTGGCGGTACCTTAGGCGCCTCAGAGAGCTGGACAACAGGATTGAGGAGGATATGCACCGTCTTCGCGAAATAGCAGAGACTGTGGCGACATCCTCCGTGAGGAGTACAACTGAACAACCACTGCGTGAGAATGGTTCCCCGTGCAGAGGTGGGAAACGTAAGCGCGCATTTTCAGGACGCGCGGAGTCTGTGGCTCCTGCTAGAGACGATGACGAGTCTTGTGACGGTGCCTCTTCAGACACCTCTCTTGTGACTTTGGAGCCTACTAACGCTCAGCTGTTTGTGGAGTATCGCACGCGCCGCCACCGCGTGTTACGGTACGCGTTGGAACGGGTGAAAGTGGCGGAAGAAATAAAGGCATGTGGGAATGATGTGAAGGAGTCGCTCGCCGTTCACATGACCCAATTGCAGCGGACGCTGCGTGGGACATAGTGGTCTTTGCCGGTTCTCCTCTATAGTTGCTGCTATTGCGGGTGTGATGGTGCTCTGCAAATAAGGGGCTGCGTAAGCAAGCTTTCCTTACAATTGTTATTGCTATTGATAAAATTTGTAAGGCGTCAATGTGGTTTGTCCGCTGTGTCGCGACTCTCTCTCTCTTGTTGCAGTCTTTGCTGCATTGTGTTGTTGTTCGCCTGATACGCGTCTTCTGCCTTGGAATGCTACCGGTGCAAAGGGCAATAAAGGAAGGGGCTGCTGGGCTTTGCGTATCCGCTCAGCAGAGAGGCGCCATGGCTACAATACGGCGGCGGGTACCTCGCTTTTTCACTAGCGCCGCTTTTACAGAGGAAGTTGGTCGTGGCCTTTTAACGTTTGCGCACCTTCACGGTCTTATGAGTAATGTATGGGTGCCGAAAAGGTTGGTGGGGAACTTCAAGGCAGATGTGACACTTCTCCCCAATGCCATTATTTGGGATGTGTCACTTACACCAGGCTGCGGCGCCACTGACATGAAAGCCATTGAACTTTGAAAGTCTTCTGGTAAACGCCCACCCACACGACTGATGCCGCATTTTTTGAAAACTATCAGAGGAGTATCACAAGTGGTGTGGGTGGGGCACTGCCACTGGCACAGACACTGGAGCTCCAAAGCGCGAGCTTCGCGTTGCTCCACTTGTCACTGATGAAAACCAGAAGAGGTTTAAGAGTCCTTACTGGCTGCGCCATGGGAAAAAAGGCCGCCAATTGGTGAATACTGAGGAAACCTCATTTTCGGGACAATATAATCCTACAGACTGTGTTTCATATGTACCTCGCACTTTCACAATCCAGTTCTTTCCCCAAGCGGTGGCTCAGTTGATGCGATGAAAGGTGTCTCGCTATGGATACGTCTCTCGCACCTGGCTAACAGCACGAGAAGGCGAAGCGCATGGGACTAGAATTGATGCCAACCGCATGAGGGATGACCCACCAATATTTGTGTCACATTTTTCCGAGCACGGACATGTGCAGGCTGTGGAATACCACTGTGGCTATCAGTTTGAGGATTGCACCGTGTTTGCCACCCAAAGCGAAATTGATCTGGCGGCATCTGGAGTTATTATTAGGGTACAAAAGGTGTGCGGGTACCCCCTGTTGGTTTCCCTCACGATGGAATCTGCCGCAGCTGTTAGGCATCAGCGCATGGCAGAGGAGATGGGAAAACTGTCAGGTCCTGTGCTGTTTGGCACTTCGCCCGGTCTCACAGCTTGGCTGCTCGGCTCCGAATTTAAAGAGTCACTTCGAAGGTTTGTGCTTCTTCGTGGGGTTTCACACCCCTACTTTCTTCTTCATGCCCGCAAACCGCCAAGCTCTTGCGACTAAAGTCACAGGAACAGAGCAAAGGTGGGAGTCTTTATTATTATGTCCTTCACCACAGCTGTTTCCTCGAACTGTTCCACGTTAAAAAGGCGAAGTAAATTATTCTGAGGAAAAGGCACCTCAGAAAAGAGAGGTAAATTACATACTATGTCCTCATTTAGATGCCGCTCTCCGTAGCAACTTTGGTGGAGTGCGCACGGGCACAATGCGCAAATCGGGCTTATCCGCAGATGGAGTCGAGCCCGTGCCTTGGGCTACCTTGCTGGCGCGTGGAAGCTTTTCCCGACTGTAGTTTCTGTGTCACACGATAAAGCTCCGCTTGCGCTCTGCTCCATGATGTACAATATCTCGGATGTGCGAATTTCATCCAAGGCATTGACATGGTGGCTGAGCTACCGCCCTCATGACCTTAAAAACACTTTGTATTAGGGCGATGTTAAGATGCTGATGTCGTTGCGTACATAGGAAGAGGGCTATACATCCCCCTTGTGGGCCACGCAGGCATTGCTGGTTTGTTTGGGAATGAAATGAAAACGTTTGACGCGGCGAATACGCTTTCTTACAGTAAAATAATTTGAGAGGTCCCCCAGCGTGCTTGTGGGCGATGATGAGTACATCAACGTGGAAGCGACTCAGAATGCTGAAGTTCTTCAGGCGACCTTATCTAATGCGGGCAGCGAGAGTAACACGCTTCCGAAAAGGATTTAGTGTGGAATTTTCTTTATTGAGTAAACAGGGTCTATGGATGGGGAAGGATGCTTCTGAGAAGCACCTCTGGTTGGTTCCAAGAAACAGCAACAAAAACAAAAACATAGTTTGTTTAACTAAAATAAAAAATGTTTTATGTATTTTTTTTTTTTTGCTTTTGCCTTTGTCTTGTATTGAGGGCTGCGGCGCTCTGTTGTTTCATCCCTGACTTTTCCCGTCGTCGGTTGGCTTCGTCTCTTGGTTGGTCAAGTGAGGCAATGGCAGTTTGCACGGTTTCCCTTCCCTGCTGCGGTGCGTCTGTGCCTGTATGAGGGCCATATTCGTTTCTCCATTTCTCGCTGTTTTTTCCTATTTACCGCCAGCGGCTGAGCACACTGGCACGGAGCGGTTTTTTGTGCACTACGCACCCGCATGCCGCCGCGTCCGAAGCGCCCGCGAGAGGGGGAACGAGCAAGTCACGCACACGATAGTGATGAAGATAGGGATGAGGAGGATGAGGAAGAGCTCGGCGAGGACCTCTTTGGGGAGAACTACGAGCAGGACTACCTTAACCCTGAGGATGAGAGCGAGGTCGCCGAGGACGACGTGACCAACGACGTGGATTGGATCGATGACGCCAGTGATGTGTCAGTTATTTCAGAATCGGGCCGCTTGGCCGTAGATGCTTTACTGGATAGGCGAAAGGAAATGGAGCGGCGGCTACGCGAGGAACAGCGGGAGCTGGAAAAGGGTGTGTTTAGCGACGTTGATGATGAGGAGTCGCTTATTAGCGCGGAGGGTGATTACTATGATGCTGCAACTCGAGGTGAAGACGGTGGGGACGATGACGCTGGGCGAAACGGGGGCGATTTCAACAATGGAGAGGGTGGAGGCACTGACCACGCCGGAGACAGCAAAGATGATGGCGTGTACGTTCGTGGTGACATTGAGGCTATGGACTTCGATTGGCGTCAACCGCAGTGCGAATTGGTGGAGTGGCTTGCACAGGAGCTTCCACGGCGGGTTGTTAAAAATCGCATTTACAACTTCTACTTGAACTACGTGGAGCATGGTGTAAGTGTGTATGAACAAAAGGTGAATTTAATGACGCGAGAAAATGAACAAAGTTTTCAGTTGAGTTATAGCCACTTGGGTCGCGCCTACGACTCGGTGCTGGCGCTCTGGTTAGTAGATGTCCCTGATCTTATGATCGAATTATTAGAGGATGCTGCAAACTACTTCGTCTTCCGTCTATTTCCACACTATCGGAAGGTGCATCGGCGCATATTGGTCCGCATTTGTGACTTGCCGTTGTGTGATCCTATTCGTGACTTTCGTCAAATTCATATGAATGTCTTGGTACGCGTGGAAGGTGTTGTGATTCGACGCTCTCCCGTTTACCCCCAGATGCAGGCAGTGAGATATGATTGTGTTCACTGTAGTTACATCATTGGACCCATTTACCAACGGGGTGACAAGGAGCAGCGGGTGAGTATGTGCCCAAGCTGCCACAGTAAAGGACCCTTCCGAGTCAACATGGTCCTCACCGAGTACCGCAACCACCAAACGGTACTGCTGCAGGAATCTCCAGGAAAGGTACCACCTGGTCGTCTCCCACGCAGCTTGGAGGTGATACTGACAAACGATCTCATCGATCGCGCCAATCCGGGGGAGGAAGTGGATGTCACGGGCATTTACCGGAATAATTTTGATCCACTTTTGAACAGTCGCCAAGGGTTTCCTGTCTTTACCACCGTACTACATGCTAACAACGTGGTGCGTCGCAGTGCGGAGGTCGGGAGTTTTAGGCTTCCCGACGACGAACGCGTCCGCATTCTGGAATTGGCTAAACACCCAAATCTAAAGCGTAAGCTGCTTCGCTCTATTGCCCCAAGCATTCATGGCCGTGATGATATCAAACTTGGTTTGCTGCTTGCCATGCTTGGTGGGGTGCCGAAAGACGTGGGTGGTGATCAGTCTCACCGTATTCGTGGCGACATCAATGTGCTGCTTGTTGGGGACCCGGGGTGCGCCAAGTCCCAGTTCTTGAAGTTTGTGGAAAAGACGGCAAACCGTGCTGTGTTCACGACGGGACGGGGTTCGACGGCGGTGGGGCTAACGGCCTCTGTCCACAAGGACACTGTGACCGGGGATTTTGTGCTGGAGGGTGGGGCACTTGTCATTGCTGACCGCGGCATTTGCCTGATTGACGAGTTTGACAAGATGTCTGACCAGGACCGCACCTCCATCCACGAGGCGATGGAGCAGCAAACGATTTCTGTCGCTCGTGGTGGTATCGTCACGACCCTCTCCGCGCGGTGCAGCATTGTGGCAGCGGCTAATCCAATCGGCGGACGCTACGACCCGTCACTCTCGTTCGATGCGAACGTCAACCTCACCACCCCCATTCTCTCACGCTTTGACTTGCTGTTTGTTGTCCGCGATGAGGTTAACGTGGAACTGGACGAAAAATTGGCGACGTTTATTTGCCGTTCCCACATCCGCAACCATCCGCGCTCCCAGGAGGAGCGCAAACGCACTGAGCGAGAGCTGCACCAGCAACTCTCCATACTTCGTTACGCTCTGGAGAATGCGTCGACGGAGGAGGAGCGCCGCGCCGCCGAAGAGCAGTTGCAAGGTTTGCGTTGTACTCTTCGGGAGAAGCCGCTTGAGGAGGATGAGGACCCTTCCAGTAACAAACCGTTACCCCAACCACTGCTGCGGAAGTACCTCCTGTACGCCAAGGCACACTGCCACCCGCGCGTGTCAAACATTGATGCAAACACCATTGCCCGGCTTTACACGGAGCTTCGACAGGAGTCGAAACACGGCGGTGTGGCAATCACTGTTCGTCACATGGAGTCCATCATTCGTCTTGCGGAGGCGCATGCGCGTCTGTACCTTCGCGATTTTGTTCGCGACGAAGACGTTAATGCTGCCATCTCTCTCTTTCTGCGTTGCTTTATTCAGGCGCAGAAGTACAGTCTGCGTAGCGCGATGGAAAATCGCTTTCGTAAGTACTCGGACTCAGAAATGGAGCCGCTTCCGCTCATCCAGCACCACATTAAGGTGGCGGTGCACTCCATCCGCGCCTTTGAACGGCAAATTTCCGGCGGAGTGGAGCCAACCAAAGTGCGCATCGACGTCAGTCAGCTGGAGCACTGCACGGCGAACGTATCGAGAGAAGCCCTTAATGCATTTTTTGAATCAGAGGAGTTCAAAAAGGATTACACGTTAATTCGCGACCCCGCGACGGGGGCGGCGCTGCAAATAGAACACTCTTTGGTATAATTACTATCTTTTTTTTTTTTTGACGGCTAAGATGAGATGAAGCGAGGAGTCGGAGTTGTCTTTTGCTGCAGAATCCATCTCTTTTTTTCCTTTCCTTGCTTGTGAGTGTTTTGTTGTTTTGCAGGCCCACTCGCACTGACGGTGCCAGTACTTGCGAGGACTGTAGCTATGTGGCCCTGGACACGAGTCTATCTTGCTGTTTGCTGCTGCCCCTCTCTCTCTCTCTCTCTCTCTCTCTCTCTCTCTTGTTTTTGTATGACTGCTTAGCTTGGGTCTGGGAATAAGGGGTGCTTCCTTCTGTTCTTTGTCTTAATGCACATATGAACGACGTCTCTGTCATGATGTCCCCAGAGGTGGCTGCGACCGACCTCACTGCCTCGGTAGAGTCCTTTCGCGGGGGTGTGGTGAGCCCAGTGTGCGGCCCTGCTTTTTCTACTCCGCACATGCAGTACCAAGAGCGACGGGATCATGTATGCTCATTTCCGCGAGAAGACACGGAGGATAGCCTCCCTTTGCCAGCGTTGCCGCCGCTGCCCACCGCAATGATGTCACCTGCAACGCCTCACGTGACACGATTGGCAGACTTCTCAGCGAAACTGCATCGAATTCCAGATAACACGACGACAGAGGATATACATCAGCTCTTGCTTAGACAGCCGCCCCGTCAGCCCGCAGAGAAACAGTCGTTAAGATTGTCTTTCAACCCCGAATGTGCCCAGCCGATGCAGCGCAATTGTAAGGAGGGTATGCACGGATTCTCGAGAGGCGGAAACTGCTTTGTGGGCGATGCAAATATTGGTAAGGTGCAGGAGTCCATTGTGCTGGAGGATAATGATGCACCTTCCATCCTGCTTCATTTAAAGTGTAGTAAATGTGCCTCAGATGAGCGAATCCTTATTGCTATGAACACATCGTCAGTGTTGTACTGTCCGTTCTGTGGTTTTCCTCAACGCTAAGAAAGAAGGGAAACGCCTGTGCACTCCTGTGGCTGCTGTTAGGAGATGCAAGGATAAGTGAATTAGCGGCATGTTATTATTATTATGTTTGTTTGCTTTGTTGCTGCGGTTGCTCGAGTATCTGAGAACGGTGTGCGCTTTGTCGCGTTGGAAGATGCACGGGCATCTGTAGTTTTATTGCCTTCTGTTTTGACTCTCGCTGTGGATGCAGCAAAGGGAACCTTTCTCCGACTTTTCTACTCTTTGGATTTACATTGGGGTTGCCACGTGGAATGCAGATTTCTTGTGATAGGGTGGGGACAGGAATGAGCGCCAGTGAGCTGCTGACAAGGCACCTCCCCGCCGTCTTTAACGAGCCGGGGTCTATGACAGTCCTATACCTCGTGACAGCGGCGGTGATGGTAGTTGTATGGACTGTGCGCTGGCTGCGACCGCATCTTGTGTTTGCATCGTCTGCAAATGATAATGACGCCGAGGCTGCCGCCCTAACGGAGACATCAACAGCAGTAACTCCGCCAGGGCAGGAGCCAGCAAAGACAAAATCCAAAACGTATCCTACCAACAGAACGACTGCAAAAGGGGAGTCGAAAGGGGAGGCGTCTGTACAGCCTACTTCTGTGCTGCGCGGATATCCTGAGGTGGACACCATCATGGTCTCACCGTGCCAACGTTATCTTTTTATTAATTGTCGTAGCAAGCGAAGGGCACGGCTGTATCCACAGAACAGAAATCGCACCTTCATGGCACGTGGGAAGGAGCTACAGGAGAAGCACTTTGTTTCTGTGGATGAAGCAGTCATGTCTGCTATGGGGGCTGAAACGAGGGTGGAGGTGCATTCGGCTGCCTTTTCCTACGACGGCGAAAGACTTGTGGTTAGTGAGAGAAACAGTGATACATTCTTTCTCTTCAGCATTCACAGGTGTCAGTTGGCTTTGCAGAGATCGTGTAAGTTGCCCCGCCATATGCTGGTGTCGACGCTTCCGCCATGGGGCGTTGCTGGTGCAGCCTACGACCTTATTGTTATGAGGCGCGACAAAGACTGCGAGTTGGAGGTGTTCAGCCTCCAGTCGAAGGAGTTTCTGGGAAAAGCAAAATTTGGGGTAGGAAACGCCTTGACATGGGCGCAATGCAACATTACCATTGCGGCGGCCGGATCTTTTCTTAAGGAGCCGAGGCTGGCGACGCTGCAGCTCCATCCTAATGGAAACGGGATCCAACTGCTAAACAGCGTGCATGTGGAGGCCAATGCGAAGGTGCGGGTGTCGGCGTTGTGTCTTACCTCTAAGAACGTTCCGGAGTTTAACACACGTGAGTATCTGATTTTTTTCACGGAAGAGGGCGTAGGATACATTTACGACATTGAGCCGAAAACAGTGAACTCCAAAACAGAGCGTTCACTGGATCTTGTTGGTCGTTTTCAGGACTCCTTCTTTGCTGGGTGGGATGCCGCGTGTCCTGTGCACATGACATTTTGCCTATATGGTAGCTCACACCACGAACGTTTGGCAATTGCGCTCTTTCGGGGCGGCAATGTAACGATTTACCGTCAAACCTCTGTGCCTGGCTCATCAGGTGGGCTCTTTACTCTGATGCCTGTTATGGTACTGCATGACTGTCATGAAGGCGATGGAGTAGAACAGGTGGTATTTGTTCAGCACGGGGAGGGGCTGGCGACGAGCGGTCGGGCAGACGGCAAGCATGTTCGTCTTTGGACCCTTCCGCCACTCCCCACTTGATGAGTCATGCATACTAATAAATTTGATACTCTTTTTTTTTTTTTTTGAGATGGGCGACAAACAAAACAAAGACGAGGGATGAAGGGAAAGAAAGAGTGAATTCCTTTCTGCATGCGCGTGCGTGTAATGAGCCTCTGTGTATACAGAGTCAACACATTGAAATCACTGGCCAAATTGGGGAGGCAACACTCTTTTCCACATTATTACCATTATTATATACCTCTTTTTTTCTCTTTTCCGTCTCTTTGCTCTTCTCATCACTGGGGCGCATTAGTAGAGGGCAAGCGTGCCAGCGACTCTCAACGTAAGGGAAGTGACTCAGCAGAGCGTTCACGCCCTTCCACAAGTTTTGAGACGACGCTACACGCATTCTTTCTGTGTGCAAATTTGTCCCCTTGTGGATTTTGCACGCCCTTGAGCCTGGGTGTTGTTGCTTTCCTTCGCCTTTTGCCGCTGCCTATTCCGCGTCACACGTTTAACAAAGGTTGTCTGACGTGAAGTTGGAAGAGCTTTTTTTTTGTTTTATTGCGGACCTTCGGCTGGAGTTTTTTTTGGATCCCGAAAGAGTGAGGAGACCGGAAAGCCGTGGGTTGGTAGCGCGCATGCAACGCCCAAGAGGCGGACTGTTGGGGAACGGTGGTGGTGGGGCGGGAGCGAAGCGTCCGCGAAAGCACATCTCCTTCGCCCGAGATGGCATCAAGGTTCGCTTTGTCAAACCGCCTCCTCGCTCCATGAATCACCGCTATTGGTTTACAGAGACGGAGTCAGTCGCCAAGAAGGGAATTTCCTTTGAGGTTGAGCCTGACATTGCCGTCTCTGTGGACGTAAGCTGTCGCATGCAGCTAACGGGGGTGGCGTCGCAGTCGTGCAAAGCTTTACCTTTACTTTCCACGAATACGGTTGCCGGTAAGCAAAAGCCTAACAGCAAGAGTAACGGAAGGGTTTACTTGAGGCTTAAAGCAAATCCTTCACTTGGGGCATTGGGTGCGGTGCAGCGTGCCTCGCGGTGGTTAACGGTGGCGTCTGTGGAAGAGGGGCATATTGAAAAGATTCGTGTTATTCTGCCTGTCGGTAGCTATACGCTGAGTTGCGTGGGGCCGAGACCTGTACAGGTCTTTGCGCAGGTCTGGGACTTAGAGACACGGCTGAACTAGGAATAGGGGCCTCAAGGAAACTGGGCGACGCGAGGCCGGTTTTGGCAGACGACAATCCTTACGAGGTTCCCCGCTTTTGTGTTAATTGCCTCTGAGTGGAGTTGCCGGAGATACTCCCGAGGACGAGTGACGGAGAGGAGGAGCGAAACGCACGGTGAGGGAGGGAGAGAGAAAGAAACACAAGGAAATAAACGGGTGTTTCCTCCCATTTATGCGATGAAACGAAATTTATTTTGACTCAACACCGACGTCTAATAAAGCAACACCGAAATACAGAGAGAAGAGTGGCAAAAAGGGGGAGAAAATATGATGCAGGTTGTGTAACCTACGCGTAGGGACTGCGGGGATGTTTGCACTCTTCCTTTCTCCCTTTTTTTTTTGTTTTCCGTTTGACCGTCGACGGCGTTCCAGCGTGCTCGGCACCTTTGTTCCTAAGCGGATGCTTACATGAAATCAAGATTAGGCGGACCTACGCGTGGGTGTGGATGCCCCTTCCTTTCTCTTTCACTGTTTTTTCTCTCTTTCTGTTTGTTTGCGTAGTTGCGTCACCGGGTTTGCGACCAACGTGGTAGACCCATTTGATCTTCTCACCGATCTCACGTCTTTTTTC